AAAAAAAAAAAAGGAAGATCGCGGTAATAGCTCCAAACAGTCCATAAGAATCCGCCCCCATCTTCCAATCTGGTGATGGGAAGGGCGAATCTGAGAGGCACAGATGTACCTGGGCCCAGATTTTCGGCTTTACGTTTATCTAGAAGCTTTATGTTTATCTAGAAATGAGTTATGGAATTCCTTTCTCGGCCTTTCGGCTAAGATCATCAAGTGTAGTATCTGTTCTAACCAGTTTAATTATTAACTTTAATATCAGAAATGAGTTACGATGAACTTATGAATCTTGAGCTGATCCTCGTACCAAACAAGTACTTGGCCCACTGCACAGCTGCGGGTCAGCGCCGCAACTTTCGGTGGCGACTCCTGAAATTTTAGGCACCTAGAAGTGTCCCACCTTGAAAAAACATAGCTGGGCCCAAGCAAGTACCGAAATTCTATTGCAATTATTTTGTCTATCTTATTAAACGATAATCCAGGTCTCTAGTAACAGGCACAGGCAACACCCGGGACCTATGCAACACCCGGGACCTAGGCAACACCCGGGACCTAGGCAACACCCGGGACCTACTGGGACTGGGAAGTGGTTGGGGGAGGCCAGGCATTTGTGTGATTTGTTTTTCTTTCTTTTTTTCCTTTCTTCTTTTCCTTACTTCTATCGCGGGAGGCAGTGCGTTCCAATATTTAAACCACCATGACCTCCGAGCCTATTTTCGACGTGGTACTGGCCAGTACCCGAACTTTTAGGAGGCTGGGCCCGACAATGGCTGCCGTTGATAAATCTGATCGGCAGCCGTCGTTTCGTTTCGGCCTCCTGAAAGGTCGGAGGCCGAGTATTTTCGAGCCGTCAAAGGTACTGGTGGTTTCACACTAAATACCATAACAGATTCTTTAGAGATTTGTTTAGGGAGGGTTGTTGGGAATGTTCGCTTGCGCCACATTGTCGTCCTGTGCCTGCCCGGTTTTCCTTCCTTTTCCTGACAGGGCCATTTGTGTGTCAACGATTTGTATTTTTCGGCACACCTAGCCCAAGTTGGGAAAGACTGAGCATTTGAATGTGCCTCGCCAAAGTGCTGAGAAACGAAGGAGATGGGCATAGTAACGAATGAATGCAGCCACATTCTGAGGGAAAATGTGCCTCGCCATTTCTTCGGTTTCCTGAGTGCTGTGGAAAGGGCTTTACGAAACAGATCATGAGCTGGAAAACAAGACGTAAAACAAAAACGGGAAATACAAGTAGACGCATGGTCATCAAGGATTAACCAAGGCTAAGTTCTCGCTTTGGGAGGGGGGGGGGAAGGAAAAAAAAGGGAAAAAAAAAAGGGCCAAGTAGTAAGTAGTAGTAAGTTCTCCATTTCTAATCATGGACCACGAAGATCAACAGCCAGAAATGAAGGATCTGAGGAAGTGGGACTTAACCCCCTACGCAAGTGCCTCTCAGGGGCTGGCCGCACACTACTGACCAAGGGGCTCGCTGCACCAGTCACCAAATGTGCAAAATGAGAGTAGGTTTCAGGCTAGAATGTGGAAACATACACACCACATGAATTCGTCTTTTCCACATTTGGTGAGTGGGGTGCGGCGAGGCCCCAAACATGCAAAATGTAGAATGTGGTGCAGTGAGGCCCTGTCCCTCTCTCATGAGATGGTCATGATACACCTGCCATAGATTTTTGTCGTTTTCACATGTGTAAGTGTGGGGACGGGCCCTTAGGGACTCGCCACACCACTGTCGAAAACACGATTTTCAATAGTTTCAAGTGTGGAGCCGGGCACTTAGGACAGGGATGTCGACTTGCCACACAGCCTGTCGAAATCCGAGACCGGAAGAAAATTCACAAGGAAGTTGTCAGAGAATGCTTCTCGACACCTCCTTCCAGAAGTCGTTGTTGAATCCCCAACCTGCTACTCTGATGCTTTCAACCGTCCTTGGCTGCCCAATCAACTTCTGCTCGAAACTTGGTGCCTGGGCGTGAGGTCGGGATGGACTACGCTTGTCGTACCCTTAGGGGCGTTCATCTTTTTCCATCTTGCATTCACAAGCGCGCCCATTCTACAGTGCTGTGTGGCTGCAAAACTGTCGAGAGGGCGGCTGTCGCGTTTATTCAGAGAGCCATCGAATTTTTCCGCCTTTCGACAGTTGTGTGGCGAGCCCCTTAGTAAAGTCGATATCAAAGAAGGAGAATACAAGTACACAGCAATTATGATTTCCAACACTAGAGTGCAATGGGGTTCTTGTCAGAGGGCAAGTTCTCTTCGGTTCTTCGTCTTTTTCTTGTATTATAATAAAAGGGCGATGACCTTGAGATCTGGTCATCGAACTGACCAGTCCTAGATAATTCAGAAATGAAGTATTTTGCTCATCTGTTTCCAGTGAAGTTCTAGCTCAGGTGTGTATTTCAACAGTTCAAGGGTGTACCAACTGCATTGGGTGTTTGCGCAGGTTCACACAGCTTAAGGTCGCAGAGCATAACCAAAAACAAATCCCCGAATTGCACCAATCAAGCCCCCAGGTGGCCATACTTGATAATTGGGGTTGTATTCTTCACACAACATTTTGTTTCCTTTCGGAGATTTCTGGATTTTTTAATTTATTTTGTGCTGGAACTACAAGGGACCTCACCTGGACCTAGCCCACTCAGGCCCCACCTGAGTCGGTACCTGGCAAACGCACAGCCGGCCCCGGCTCCCCAGGTAGAACCACACCGCCGTACTTCTACGCATTTACTTGTGACGAGTACCATTCGTCGCATGCATCCATGCCAATCATGCAGGTCTCTTGCCTTGGCTCTCCAACTAAAACAAAGGGCTATCGGTCCTAGTCCTCCACTAAATCCAAGGCCACTCAGACCTCCTGTTCGGGTCCACTCATAGGCGCATCCATTTGCCAATGCAAATGTTGTTGACGGAATGCAATCACTAGTGCTCCTCTCCTACATCCCACCCTCCAGAACTCCCTCAACGCTCCCCTTCGATGCAAGATTTGGTTCTCGATCTCACGATCTGCCCTGCTGCAAAGCTGTACTGCCCCAATGCAGGTGGTGTTCCTGCTTGTTCAAATGACAAGCACCTTCACACATCACCTCCACCAACTGAAAACTGTTTAAAAAAAAAAGAAAGAAAAAAATGAGGAAAACGATGTTTCCCTCTTGCGGGCAGGCTAGCTATCCAAAGCAACAGAAGGCTGCTTACTAGACCTCCAATACACGGCCCCAGCCTTGCAGAAAATGCTTTTTTTTTTTTTCTTTTTTTTCTTTTTAATGGGAACAAGGTTCCAATCTATTCGTGGGGAGCAACACGTGCTGGGAACCGGGCCCAGCGTCCCATATGGAAATTTACATGGAATTTTGGAAGTTTGAGATACCGGGACCATTACCCGGCTTGGCTACCGAAAATTAGAGCTAATTAGAGAGCTACTACTGCAAAATTGAGACAACTCAAAAAAAAACCATCAATTCCCATCTCCTCACTCCGGCAAGACTTACCGCAGAAAATGCTTCTTCGCCTACACCAAAACATTAGTGCCTCAGGCCAACCAGACCACAATGGCTGGCGGCACCAGCCAAAAAAGAAAAAAGTGCGCCGCTGGCGGTTCGGCAGAGCTTGGTGTGCGGTGGAGCGCCTCCAAACCCAGGTGTACTAGTGATTGAGAGGCAGATAACCGAGGCCCCGATTGTCAGACAACTTGTCATGCCGCCATTTATAACAAAACCCAAAGGGTCATTTTAACCAAACTTGGCCCCAATTCATAGAGTGGAGATCATACCAACTTCTTAACAAAAAAATAAAATACAATGAAAAACCGGTTAACCACTTGCGTAGGGGTGTTTCCCCCGGCAGGAAGCCGTGGGGGTTCGAATCGAAGGCATGGGGAATTGAACCCATGACAGCACATACAATGAACAACTAGACGACCTATTGCGGCTCCGCTCGCAATCAAAAGCATGATGGGACACAGACCCAGAGCCAGACCCCAGACCCACACCCAGACCCAAGACTGTGATTTGCAACCAGACTCCAGATCGAAACCCAAATGTGGAGATGGTCATGAGACGGGGAGACGAGGGGAGGAATCGATAGAGCTGGCAGGAAGGCTCCCACAAAAATTAGCAAAGCAAAGGAAAGACAAACAGATCGTTTCAACTCTCTCACTGAACTTTTGAGGGTTTCGTAGTTGCAACGAGATAAGGTGTGTGGTGCAAACTGGGGGAGGTGTCAAGGCGGAGGTGGGCACGAGGCCCGAGGGCACATGGCGGAGAGATGGGCAAAAGGTGGGTGAGAGGCAGGGGAGAGGTGGATGAGATGTGGGTGAGAGACGATCGGGAGGTTGGGAGAGGTGGGGGAGCGGTGTCTGGAGAGAGGGGTGAGAGGTGGGGGAGGGGTGGGGAGCGATGGGGCAAAAGAATCTAGAAAGATCGTTGGGAATAGATTGTGCTTCCTTGGCATTGAGTTTGCTCCCCCCCCGTCATCCACGAGCCACTTTCCCATCGCCCTCCATCTCCTCCCTGCCCCATTCCCAACGTTTACTCCTGTAGCTCCTATCCTTGCTTTCCGCTCGTTGATCATCACGTTTGACGATCCGTTGCACCTCTCTCTCTCTCTCTCTCTGTTTTTTTTTTTCAATTGAAAACAAAAGAATCCATATTGCCATCACACATCAATCATCACCTGCATCGTAATGTGAGCATTCCATCGCACGATGGAAAGACAGAGAGAACGAGAGAGGTAGAAAAACAAAAAGAAAGAATGGTAAGGGTAGACTCACTTATCATCGTCTTGGTCATCGCTGTCCTCATCGTTGTGTCATTGCACCCCTCCCACGCTCCAATTCTTCTTCTTCTTCTCCTCTTCCTCCTGCTCTTGCTCCTCCTCTTTCGCCCCTCTGGTTCTGTTACCTACATCATGCTTCCTACTGAGTATGACAAACCTCTCCTCCCTCTATCACTTTTGGTCTTTCCCCTCCTCCTCTTCGTCCTGTTATTGCTGTTACAATTCCAACATACCTGCAAAGTGCCACAGTGAACACTCCCTCCCTCGTCAACTCCGTTCCTTCTTTCATTTCCATCCAATCCCAATATGCATTCCACGTTGCACGGCATGCCTGAAACTTTGCACATCACAGACCTCCTCAAGCTTCCTGCATTCTCCTCTTCTCCCTTACCTCCTGAAACTTTGCACATCACAGACCTCCTCAAGCTTCCTGCATTCTCCTCTTCTCCCTTACCTTCTCCTCCTCCTTTGAAGTTGCATGATGAAAGCCTCCCCATGTTGCTTATTTCTCCTTCCCCTTCTTCCCACTCTTCCTCCTCCTCACTTTTCATCAGTCCTTTTCTCCTCCATTTCTCGAACGGTGATCATGGAATACCTGACATGTACCACAGCGACCTCCTCTCCCTCCTTTTCTCCTCCTTTTTTACTAAAGTGATCATGGAATACCTCACATGTATCCGAAACGTGTCACAGCGACCTCATCTCCCACTTCTAATCCTGCCGCCTGCTCCTCCCTCCGCTTCCTCGTCAAGTTGCTCCTCGGTTGCAGTTATACGATCAGGGGAAAGCAGGGGGTGCAGTGCAGCAGTGGGAGAGACTCTATCATGTCCTGGATCATCATACTTCCTCCCCCCCACCTTTCTTAGTGCAATATCATTTTCATGAAAGCGACTGTCAATCTCACAACCAAACGTGAAAGAGAGGATCGGTGCTCGGCACATTGCCAGTTGGAACAGTGGGCAGAGAGAGCCGATGCGCATGGCAGCTTGGCAGGGTGGTGTTGCATGGGAAGCAGAGGTTCAATCTGGGCCTCCCAGGTCGCATTGGCCCATTGGCCGGGAGCACCATCCCATATCAGCTGGCCATCTGGATACTTGTTGTAACGGCACTCTAGGATTCTTTCGCAATCACCATTAACTTCCGACTCGCCACGGATGTGGGTCATGTCCAGGTTCACAGCCAATCACAAAAAGTTCAGATCGGTCCACGCTCTGGGCCGTCCTTGCGTGATACAACCCAGACGCATCGGCTGCAAATATTGACCATTCGGGTGAACAAATGGCAAACGGTGCAGAGGAGTCCTTTTCGGTAAGCCAGGGTTGGAATTGACACCAGATTCGGTAAAAATAGGCTCGGGAGTACTGGTGGTTTACTGGCAAAATTGTATCGACTTCTGCGTCTTCTGACATGATAGAAAGGCAAGCTGCTACGAAGTATAATGCACAAACTTAGACAATCTTCTGAGTACTCGAGCACATCCAATCACTGACCTGGAGACGACCGTCCTGAAGGGCGCTTGAAATCCTTGGGCAGTATGTCCAAACTCAACGACTGCAGGCAAGCTAAGCTCCTTAAGCACACCAACGAGCATACATTTTAACGAGCACATCGACGTTCCGCTGTGCTTGTAACAATGCTCAGTCTCAACGCACTCCCACCTTGGCAAATTGTCATCATCCCTGCCCAAATCTTGTTAAGCATGAAAGTAGAGACATACCGCAGGGTCATCGCAAATGAGATGGCTCGAGGAAAAAAGCATCAACAAAGTATTCAGCACACGGACTCCCTCTCTTCCTTTGTATTCCCATGAAATCAATCCTCCGAGGACTTTTGAAACGTTTGCATGCACCATGCCCAAATCACTCCTTGAGAAATCCATGCAGTCCATTAAAAAAAGCAGGAAGAGAAGGGAGAGAAACACACGCAAAATGCAACACAAGAATAAAAACCTCAAATTCCATGCCGCTGTGAAACCCTTGTAAACTCACCTGCTCAATACCATTCTTCAAGAGAACACGCTGAAACTCAAATTCCAGCCAGATAATGCTTACATGCAATACTCATTGTGTTCGCTCTGTTACCCGCAGAGCGCCATGTGGGCTTCGGTCACCTCCTAGGATGATGGCAGGGGCTTCCTTCGCTTCCTAGGATAATGGCAAATGCTCCACTGGTCCCAATGAATCGGAGCTAAAATACCTCCTCCTCATCCTTCAACATGCTAAACAGAAAATCCATAAAGCTGCGTCGCACGGAATCCATGTTCCCAAAACAAGGATAACAACATCATGGCTGGTGTTTCCGCAAACATTCCTTCACTTGCAACCAGCTCGATGCCTGCACCTTGCAGATCCAATCAACATGACGCAGTCCCTCACCAGACTGGTGGCGGCTATTTGCACTCATCGCCTCCCAGGCACCACGCAGGGTTCGCGTTTCTCAGTGCAAGTACACATATTTTCCTGAGTGTCGCTATGTATGTTCCGTAAAAATAAAGAAAAGGAGAACCGGACCCCCTTCTGTACATTCCCATCAACCCTGCCCCTTTGCTTGGGCCTTCCGCCAACTCTGTTCCTCCCTCCAGAAAGAGAGACGAGAATGGTTTGCAGACCCGGCTGCAATCATCCTTCACTGCAATATCGGGAAAGGAATGAACAACAGCGTGAACGTTACCCATAGCTCGCGGCACATCTCTTCCGTTCACACTTGGAGAGCTCCCTCTCACACTCCTGCCAGACAAAGACAGCAGACAGTACTGGCTGATAACATGGCGGAAAGAACGATAGGATCCGCTGACGGAAACCTGTCTGGTTCCATCTTTCGAGAAAAGGATGTGAGATCTCACTTTCATTCTGAATAGAATAAGCCGGGAAACCGAAACCCCATCCAATTTGCCAAAATACACACAGTAAGGTGGGATAGACAAACAACTCTGGACCTGATAACATCCCAAACTCTAATAAAGACCTTTCAGAACAGTGAGAGGATAACAGTCACATCCACCATGGGAGGTGCAGAATCCCATCTTAGCTGATGCATAAGTGAGTCAGGGGAAAAGACCAAAGACTGACCAATGGGAACCACCTCCTTGAGACTGTCCGCACTCCAACATCCGGGGCGTGTAGGACCCTGTCTGGCGCACGGTGCCACGAAGATCCTGTCGGAAAGTGGCCAGCAGCGGCTCAATCAAAGACAAATTGTTTAGTTCTGGCAGCGTCCTTGCTATTTGAGGGGAAAAGGGAGCACCACCTTTTTTCATTTGTATTGTACACGGCTCTCGATGCCAAAGAGCACCTCGATAGATGTCCACTCCAGATCTGAATGCAACATCTCCTAGACTTCTCTAGCAGCCAACCATATCCTGCACGCTACTGTCAGCTACGCATCAACCTATACTAAGAACCCGTGCAAATCCAATCCTAACCATTGCTACTCACCAAAAGCCAGACCAACTTGTACCCTACAAATGGCCGACTTGTTCAAACTACCTGAAACAGACCTAAAGCTCCGACCATCAAGCTTTGACCTCCTGCCGACTGTGTGAACCAATAATCGCATCACAATGATGATATCTCCTCTGAAACGTTCCTCACACATAACTCACGTCAAGCAGGACAAATCGGCCCAAGGTTACGATGCAGCGGGTGCTCGCTGCAAGAACGATTCCAGATAAGCATCTCTGTTAGCACTAGGCGCGGCGATAACAGGACAGTTTTGTGTCCCCTCCTGTGCTGAAACTTTGCCCAAAGAAGCTTTCGGCGAAGAGGAAACCCCATTGTTCGCAGGCACGTCCTCTCGAGTGCCGGAGGGTGACACTGATGCCTCGACTGCTCCAGTCAACCTGATAATGGTGTGGGCAGTGTTCGGAGGCAAATGGTCCGTACACATATCCTCCCAGGCCTTTGGCGCGCATTCGCAGTTCAGGCAATCTCGGTGTGCAGCATGAAGAACAACAGCAAGTTTTCTTCCAGAATCCCTGGCTTCAGGAAGTTGATCGATTATCTGTGCACCTGCAACACGCAGCAAGGTGGGAAGTCCAAACTGCATAATCCCCACTGGATCCTGTACATTGGCAGCCACGTTTTGAAAAACATTTTGGGAGTCAGTATACAACAACCAGCTGGAAGAAGCAATTGCAAAACATACCCCTTACCCATCTGATATTGGACACCCAGAAAGAGTGTGTAGGTGAGACAAGATACCCAGAAAGTCACATACTATAATCCACTGTGTATTGAACCCTAGCCAGAACACAACCTTGTTAACACCTGTGCTGCACAGAGTACATGCGCGCCCTTCACATAAGTGCATCCATGCACTCATGTACAAATGATGTACGCGAGTACGTGTGTTATGAATTATCACCACAACTTCCCCTATTCCACCCAGATGAGTAGATCCAAAGTCATAGCAATTTTACCTCTATTGCAGACAATGAAGCATGCTTAAGATGAGGCAATCCACCAATGAAACAGTTTTGCTTGTAAAGTCAATATCTATCCAAAACCACCGGAATCTTACATTTATACAAGCAAGGAATCTCACCTTTATACAAGCAAAGCAACACACTTGACATGGGTCAACCCAACAGTAAAACCAATACGAGACACAATAAATCCGTCATATCGTTCTTTTTATTGTGTTTTCATCAACTAACATTGGCAGGCCTCCCATTTTCTTTGTTTTTGCAGTTCTCCTCTTACTGTGCCTATCACGTACAAGGCTGGCCACGTTGATGATGCTTGAGTGCCAGCTGCCCACATCCCCGTGTCCCTTTAGAGGAGGCAGAGTAAAAGCGTAACTTATGTTTTGTCTGTTCTCTTAATGACGCTCATTCATATGCGTTTACTGGAAGTATACAAGGAGAGGGAGTACATAATGGTGGGAAGTAGGTGAGAGAAAATAGATAGAGAGAGAGAGAGAGAGAGAGAGAGAGAGAGAGAGAGAGAGAGAGAGAGAGAGAGAGAGAGAGAGAGAGAGAGAGAGAGAGTTCAGTAGGTTCTGTATACACACCATTGGAGCAGACCACTCTAGAATGACACGAGAGGTCAGTCAGTGCCCGGGTTGCAGGATGATTTTGTTGAGGAGTAGCTGTTGGCTATGGTAGGTGGCCACCTCTACAGACCGGACAGCACCAATTCGGTTGCGGACTGTGGAAGCATCGCATCCAATTCTCACAGCCACAGTTGCTGCACCGAATGCCACGGCGTAGACAGATATCACAGGCAACGTGGCTCCCACAGGCAAGGAACACGGGCACGCCAACCGCAATTATAAAAGCATTTGCCGTTCAAGTACTTGTCTACAAGTTGGACGTGACATGTCAGGGTGTCAGACGTGAGTGCAGTATTGACTGTCATCATACATATGAAAACAAAAAGACGCACGCGCTGTATCTTCATAATCCTCATGACACAATGGATGCAACCCACATGCTAGCCGAATCTCAGGTGGATAATCACAGAACGGCATTGAGCAGGTGTCTTGGGTTTCCTCGGCATTGATTCCTTCTCTATGGACACAACGACTGTGGCAAGAGGGGGTCATCCAAAACAAGGTTGTCTAGCTGCTGCAGGATTTGTTCTGCAACAGTTCGTC